GTATCGAGATGCATAAAAAAGCATTTTAAAGAGGAGACTCTGTACTTTCGTACGCTTTTGATCCCAATAAGCTACAATTTTTTGTTTATACCGTGCACCGTCGCAAACTCGAACCATTATTTTTCAATTTTGCATGCTCGCGCTTTGTCATCCGCCATTTTCAATAAATTTATTTTGCAACATTGAAATAAATTGATTCTTAAAGTAGAGATTTTTAGCTTCATTTCCATATTTTATAGAACTTTCTATCTTTATTATTTACGAAGTTATCGTCAGTTGAAATTTGATGAATTTTTCCCACATTTTCAGTGTACCGCTTTTTTTTCGGGTGAGTGTATAAATACGAATAATTAGGGAGGCGTAAAAGAAGATTTGGAATCTGCATTCTTTCGTCGATATTATGGATGCGCAAATTGCAAGGTATCTGAGCAAGTTAATTCTGCGCCAGTTTCTGAAACGATTTGTGTCCATCAAAACTTTCAGCTGGATGCATCGAAATAATCCAGAATCGTTACGATGCAATGTAGCTTATACGATTTATCGCAAATGCATTCCGTGTTTCTTCGCATCCCCCGAGCTATAACTCTTTCGGGGCGCGAGACATTACTGGAATTTCTCTCATACAGTCTCCTTCTTGCGCACGAGAGTGCCTTTCAACTTCGTACAGAATGCCTCCGGTGCACGCGAACGACTGCAAAATATCCACAAAGATGGAAGAATTCCATTGGTCTCTCACTAGAGTGTTTTTTATCAGTGATTTATTTACATTGAACTGGCATCAACGTAAACTGACATGACAGAATGTTTAATCGTATCATCTATCACAATATTATCCACTATAAGCGCAGAAAAATATAAATTAACGAGAATTTGATGAAAACTGATGGAAAGTATAAAATCAGATTTTATTTCTATTTTAACATTAACAAAATGCTACAAATTACTGATCCATCAATGTTTTATCCTGTCCTTAATCGATATTATTTCGGCATGATTGCTTGACCTGCACCAACAATGCGCCATAACAGCGTATGACACGTGCAGTTTCTTTACTATGTTAACCTGTGCACATACATATGAGCCGATAAATTGTAATTTATGCTTCAAAGCGTGCGCGAATAATTTACGTGAAATCCTCGTCCTCGTTGTTCTTGCGAGCTCCAAGTAGATTAAAATTCACATTATTAAAACAATTCGTGTCACGAGAAAATTATTATACACATATTTTTGTTATATACGAATTTTATCAAAACAAGCTTACAAAATCTACATATTTTTTATGTTACGAACGTGATTTCTATTATATTTTTTAATCATTTGTAACATATTTTGTGTTTTTTTTTCTAAATTAATTTATTCATTTATTATATTCTTTTCTTGAGACTATAAAATTCCTTCAAAGAATAAAAAAAATTATTGATTAATAATATTTGAATCCCTATTTTAAATTGTATTGACTTCATAAAATAAATATAATAAAGCATGTTTTTTTTTCGACAATTTATACACATGTTCTAATAAGTGTAGCAAAGAGTTATATAAGAGAAGATAAGTATTTAATGTTTACATGACATAAAGAAATTTATTCATCTAACAATGTACACAACGGTCTGCAATATCTTGCTGATTATTACCGGAGTGTTCAACGATAAAATCAGCGCTCGGAATTAGTTGCACATTTCGGGCCGATTTCCGAGACAAGCCTCCTGTTTCCCCACTACCGCTCGGCCGCTGGCGGCCAAGCCGCCGATAGCTCTGGCTCAGGAGCGTTTTATATTAGAAATAGGCTGGATTGTTTAGGCATCTTTCGGGAAATTGTAACATTTTCTTCACTACATAAATAATGTTTATTTTATTAATACATAATATATATATATTTAATTATTAATGAAAATAAACATTATTTATGTAGCAAAGAAAATATTACTATTTTTTGAGAGGTGCCTCAACAACCCAGCCTATTTCTTATATAAAACGCTCCTGCGCCAGAGCTATCGGCGGCTCGACCGCTAGCGGTCGAGCGGTAGTGGGGGAACAGGAGGTGTCGTCTCGGGAATCGGCCCGAAATGTGCAACTAATTCCGAGCGCTGATAAAATGTTATTACGATAAACACGCAGCTTTTCGTCCCTTAATTTACTTTCGTCGACTCTAATGTTAAAATAAACAGTACTATCTGCGTCGTTAATTACAGTCTGACGATAAACACTAATTCAGTAACAGCCAGTCTAACGGTACGCTATAAAGAATATCTAGCCAGAGTTACGAAACTGTTATAAAATTATCACACCGTAATTTTACAACACGTCTATTACACGAAGCGTAACTAATAAATTTTATTGGCAAAATAAAGAACCTCCGCCATCGATAACTTATAAATAGAAAATTTAAGTTTTTTTATTTCATTACTTTTGATTTTTTGGGCTAATTAAGGATCAATTTTTAGGTTATCATAAAAAAGATATTTATTTCAACAAAAATAAATAGTGAAATCTTCAAAATGATATAATTTATTAATTTAGATAAACAATTTTATTGACATTAGTAGAAATGACTTTTTAATTATCAAAATTACAAATGGAATAAATATTAATCTAACTTAATAATAATAACAGATTAATATTGAAAAAATGTGTATTACTTTGAAGAGTGCTGTGACACAATCTGTAAAAAACAATCTTTGATAACAGTAAATTTGTCTTCACTGGATACACCTGTACAAGTACACTCGCGTAGATGATTCTCGTAATATGATACAAGAGGAATGCTTGTGTAACTACACGATATGTTTGATGACAATAAATTAGAGATATTAACTCGCCGTATGCGAAGTAGCGAGCCAATCATCTGATCGTTACTACTGCGGTGATGTTATCAATTTAACTATTCCCAACAAAACAAAAAATTTAATTAAAGTGGCCACGCACACCAGTTCGTAAAGAAAAAGGCAAATCGAAGAGGGAAAGTGGATTCCTTCGAACAGGTATAAGTGAGCTAGTCATATATTATAGTTCTCGTAAAATATGCATAACATGTTAGAAGTCATTTGCCGCACATTTTCATTTAGATTCCTAGAAAGATTATTGAAATTAATATGTCGTATTTATCATCGGGCACTGTGCGCATGAAGATCGTATTATACATCTGAGAAGTAGAAAAATGCAAATTCAAAATAATGATATAAATACACGAAAATCGATCATTTCAAACTTAATCGTTCCGAAACGTATTTCAAGGTTTGAGACTTTTGCACCTGCGAGTAACTTGAAACGTTTTACTGACCTTAAAAAGGAATCGCTATAGAATGAGGCGTAGGATGAGAGGAACCTAAAGCCGTCGACCCACGCTCGATCATCGTAGTGTGGATTCACTGTCACGTGGTCTAAAAGCTGTCTGAATATGGGATAAACCTGTCACGCAACGTAGATCCTTTTCCACGATAACGAGAGAACCAGGAGACCACTGTCTTGCCCGCAACGTGTCGCGCGCGTTTTACATATAACATATAACTTCGCATGTGTGATGTCCAAATTCCAAAAATATTCTCTGTTAAAATTTAATATTTCTCTTCTCGCAATCGATACAATAACCTCGAATTTTACCGAATCGAATATCACTGGTGCATGTTATCAATTTCTCAATATTAATTACACTTTTGATAAGATATTAAATAATTATAAAATAAGTTATATCAAATAATAAATTATGCAATTTTTTTCAGTATTTTTTATTTTATTAGCCAAAATTTGAAACATTTTGCACAATTAAAAAATGAATAAAAATATAATAATTCAATTCTTATTTCTTATTAAAAAATAAATTTTTTCTTTGATATTTAATAGAAAGAAATAAATTCAATTTATATTAAATCTATATAAAATTATTTTTTTTTTTTAATGCAGATCAAAGAAATAAAAAAATGATTTAATCAATCTTAACAAAAAAAACTGTTAGTAAATATTAATTATTTCATTTTCTTTTTGGATTAATGAATTGATTGACGAAACGCTCTCTTGAATACCGTAACTCCTTGAGTGCCGTAACAAGTACCGTATCGGTAATTTTATTTCGAAAAGTTGCGAAACAAATAAAATTGCGTTATCGGGTGCGACGCGTTCGGCATTCGCTGACACGAGAACGTAACCATTTAAGGTCGAGCTCGCACTTTGCCACCTCTCGATTCATTGTCAAGTTAAGTTCAGCTTCGACGATGACGCTTACACGCTCGCTCGTTCAGATTTCACTTCGAAGCAGTTTGTTGCTGTTGTCACAGCAGGAAATTGCGTTCTTTCCTCTTTATGTGCGCTATCACAATTTATTGTACGATCGACAAAAGATTATAATAGCGATACTGTGTACTTTTAATACATAAGTAAAGGTAGCGCTATTTATTTTAATTGGCGGATATAATTTACTATCTATTTGACAGTCTTTAACGTTCCACCTTTTATCGCCGAAGAAGTAATTGTCCGCTGCATTTCATAGAATGCACGATGATGTCCAATTGTATCAATAACACAGCTTTCATACTGAGCGTTTTAAGAATAGCACAAAGTGGACACGTAACGCGATTATTTCTCCATTAAGCCAATAAGCCATTAAAGTTCATTGTCCAATTCAAATTAGTAGACCTTCTTTCATAAAGTCTTTTATACTTCCTGTGTAAATATACTTATGACGACACGTGTGACGACATTAATCACATTAATGGTATAACACAATTTTTTTGTAGATCGACGAAAGAGCGACTACCATCGCCTTCTATCAATTCGGGTATCTCTCTAGTATTAGTATAGTCGCATGGATTATATTCCCCAGTCGCCTCTAAGTGATTATCTACGACCCACGTTCTCGCGCAATTAACAGCAACGATGATGTGCGCTCTTGGCAATAACCGTGAGCAAAATTACAGCGACGTGACTCTTAAAAGCGACACTGAAATCCTGTTATATACGGCCGATAAAACTTGTATACGGCTGTTCGCGACTTGCAATCGTCCTCGAAAAATGCGCGAGTGTAAAGTTTGTGAGGAAGAAAAAAAAAAGAAAAACATACCTCGTAACTCTCTGTGTGGCGCCTCCCAAGACCGAGCCTTCCTCCTTTAAACCTGGATAAATCTGCAAAGAAACAAGCGTTAATGTTATACTCGTTATCCCACATCTTTATGAAAGTTTAGATGAAAAAAAAGCACGCTGTTTTTATCGGTAATGAAATTGGCAGTTTCGTTATAAGCATGCATAAAATATCACCAAATAAAGTAGGTAGGAATATACTTTAATGAGAAAAATTGTTACATAAAAAAAAAGAAAGTAAAATGGCTTAAGAAATTGTAAAGCCTGAATAAATCTGAAAAAGAATAAAATCAGGTTTTATATTTTTTTAAATTTTCATTACCGCTTTCATTATCTTTTTCCATTGCCTCAATCGCTGGGTAAATAATAATGATGATGAGCATTTTATTTAAAATACAGTAAAAAGAAATAGAAAGGGACAAACATGGATCCAAAGAAATAAAAGTTTTTTAAATGAGAAAGAGATTATATATATATGTGTGTGAAAAACTGTATTGAAGCAAAAATGATTTCATAACAACACAGCAACATAAAGTAGTTACATAAAATTAAGTAAGAAGATTCTATTTTGTCGATGGCTTCAAGATATTATACTCTTCAGGATCAATAAGTCATTAACAACATAATTACTTCGACGCACCCTTAGATCGGGTGAATGCGAGGGCAATTCTCTAGATAGGCGTTGAAACGCGAGGTGGATGAAGGATCGTCGAATCGATCGCATGGAGAGCCGATTAAGGTAATTCGCATTACTTGGCTCATCGGCTCGTTTACTCGACCGAAAACCGTAGACGCAACCATTTGTGTCCCGAATTGTGATCCTTTCTAACAACTTTGTGACTGCATAAAAAGCATTCATTGCAGATTAAAAATTTATAAGTTTTCATAAATTACGTTTACACCAATTACATTAACTCTTTTCTTTTACAAATTGTTATAATTCTTTATCTCCAAAATGTCAGAAATTAAATAATCACAATTTTTTAAAAAACTTACAATAGATTATTACTTTTAAAAAAGTATACACTGAGAATTTTTTGTTAATTTTTCCAAATTTTCTCAAGAGTTTAATATAGAAAAACGGTGTTTTTGTTACGAAAAAATTACTCAGGATGAAAAAATCCTGCCTCTTCAAAGAATTTTAGATAATATAATTCAACGATGTACGCATTATAACTTGAAAATTACAATCCAAATTGAGCGCAATTAGTATCCAATTAGCGTTCTCAGTATCTAATTAGTGCTAAAACTACTATAGAATTATAGAACTACTCTTACTTATCTCTCGATATAATTAAAAGTTGTTAATGAAATTAGAACATATTTGTATACGAAGTGAGATAATTTTCAGATTTACGTTTATAAACTCCACTTAATTCGCAGGTATAAAAAATCTAAAGATCCATATTTATTTTCCAACTCATTGAAACGGGAAGACGATACAAGCAATAAACTTAACGGAAACACTTGGTCCCTGACACTCTTGTCGAAGGATTGTGCAATCGGTAGTCATCCTGTGCGAGTCGCGTTGCATAATTCCGTTTGTATCCTCACGAGACGCGAAAACACGATGGCGTGCAAAAGGTGCGAGTAAGCGCCAACGGACTCAATATCGCTTTACGATCGGTCTTCGACTACGAAATATCTCAGCTGACTGGCCTCTGACGTGTCGGACGTTCTAAGCACGTTGAACAATTATTTCTATTCGCATTAATGATACACTGTGCTTGATATATGAAACACTGTATGGAAATATAATATCTTCTTAAACAAATATTCACAATATAATCTGTGATATATATTTTTTCTAATGCAATCATTGGACCTAAAAAGATAAAATAGATCCATCGAAATGCGTAGATAGAATGATGATATTTTTGGACGTTGGGCCAATTTGTTCGATTTCGCTACATCAGGAAAAAAAGACGTACAAAGCATTGATCGGAATCGGTGCACAGCGAGAAAGGTCATTCGCTTCACGCCACAATGACTTTGGCAATTCGAACGCACCGGACGAATTTCGACCAAACGCTATTTTTCGGCAATTCTGTTCGCATTCGGAAATAGAGACTCGATAGACACTTAATATTCTTTTTATTTATAATTATCGTACATTTCCCGGAAAATTAATTCTTACAAATTTATTAATTATGTCAAGAACGCCGAGTTAAAAAGTTCATGGAAAAATCTTTTATTTGAATTTATATTTTTTAATAGAATAATAAAACACGAATTTTGCGCTATGAGTTATCAGCATGGAAGATGCTCTCGAAACTCTGCGATGCAGCTACGACATATATGTGAACAACAAATTAAAACGCGGTCTATAATAGATTAATCGCAAGTAAACCAGCTCGTGGCCTATGCGCGATATATTATAATAACTGGAGCATAAAATATATGATTCGTGGCTACCGCGGCAAATAGTAGCGCGTTAACGAGATTAGCGGGATGAGAAGAACGTCCTCGCATCGATTTCATGCGCACGGTGAGACGACGATGTTACTTTTCGCCGTATATATGTATATTCGTGTGCTATGCTGTGTACGTATGAACAACCCTTTGGAAATACACGTGTCGCGCGGACGTTCCTCCGAGTGCGGTTTACATTGCAAATTCGTCGAGAAACTTCTCGCGCGCGACACGTTCCCGGCGAGTCCGTGTGCAAAAGTTATTTTACCGATTAAATTACGACCCGAACCCGGTTGCTACTGTCCGCGGTAGCATTGTTTTAGCGATGTTGTTACCGAAACACATTCGGCGAGTCCCTCGGGACGACCGTCTAACTGCTTGCAAAAGTATGTATCGATAATACTAATGATAAATTGTAAATATTCGTTACTTCTAAGAGGACGATTCAAAAGTTATTTCTATATTTTTATTGAGAAGTAAAAATTCTCTCTTTCACATACTAAGTTCTGGATTAATATTCGAAATTTTTCACAAAATTTGATGAAAATTCTTCTGACAAGAGCTAAATTACGTACGTACGTATGTGAAACGTACGTAAAAAAACGTACGTATGTGAAAAAGTACAAATTTTTAGTAAATTAAATTTGGTATGCCAGAGATAAGATTTACTGTTTGCAAAAGCATTTTGCGCGGCAGCTATTTCGGCAAATGTTAACGCGGCAAGGAGTTGAAACGTAGCGTGAAATTTGCGCATGTTGCGACACCTGTTATTACCAAAGTTTTATATACCTCCGTGACAGTAGGCAATTTTCTAGGCTTCTGCACAAATATCTAATGTAACTTTCACTATCTATTAATAATACAGTAGCGTAGGTCGATCGGCCAACGTCTACCTTCGTAAAGCTGCGACTGCATCACTGAAATATGATTGTCTTTTCCAGTCGCAAGCTGAAATTATGAAATAAAAGCGCAGCAACTATGAAATTTTCTAAATCAAATTATGTCAATTCAACAAAAAGATGTTAATAAAAGATCAACGAGTTTACTCGGCTGGATTATCGATTGCTTTTTATATAAAATAGAATTTTAGAAGTACAATCTTATTCATAATCCTTTTTTTCTAATTGGCTAGTTATGTAAAAAGTTGGCATTAACCTATTAATACACAAATATTGTTCGAGCGTAAAAAGAACCGTTCGTGGCCTTGCTATAAAGACACGCTGTACTTTGTTCTATGCTTTACGTAATCTTTATTCCGCTCGGTTGGTACTAGGTACCAGTGCTTCAATCACAAGTACACACAAGTGTATCACGTGAGCGTAATTGTGTTCCTGCGTTTCTATGAGCTCGCATACATGGTGTACGTATACATAGTTCTATACGCGCATGCATCGCTAAAGATATTATGTTTTCCATTTCGACGGGTTCATGCATAACAGTGATATTACTAACGTCTCATTAACAATTCAAACTAGGTCGGCTCGTCGAAATTTTCTCGATCAATATTTATCAAAAATAATATGCAAATATAGTTTTTAAACAGATCGATTAAATAGATATGAATAATTAAAGGTATTAAATTATTTTTATTACCTGTAAGCATAATTCTATTGTCAAAAAATTTGAAGAAAAATTGGGATTGTCTGACAATATAAAATAGCGAAACAATTTTTGGGATAAAAAAATACTTTTTTTGAAAATAGGACGGTTTTTTTCAAAATTTTCCTACGTATACGTACATACATATGTACGCGCATATCAATCAACAAACTATATTTTTTAAACCGTTATACCCGCAAGGAATGTCGAGTGCGATAAAACGGCAAGGACTGGAACTCTAGGGTTGGACCTATCCAATCTGGAACGGTCAACATATATTTCTGCAGCAATCTGAACTCGCCCTCGATAAAGATAACAGAGAATTAAAAGCGGCCGAAACAATATTACGCCAAGTGCTGTTTGGATGAATTACTGCTTTACATTAAAGCTTTGCGTTTAAATTGCTTGCAAAGAATTCTTATTCACATATCTAAAAACACATCAGAAGTGAACTCAGCGAAGCTATATTGGTTTCAATTCCAGTTTATAGAGCCCGATTAAGATTCCTGTGTACACTGCAGAAACAACACAATTGTGCAAATACAGATATCATATCGATTCGGATTTTGCAGTGAACACAGCATATATGATGCGAATATCGCGAGGCTAACACGCAACAAGAACTATGAGATGAATAATACGCATTTCTACCCACGTTACTATAATATAATTGAGTCTAAAAATACTTCGATGATTCGCGATGATTTGATTCTTTGGTGCTGCAAGGAAGGTGATTGTTTGTTAATCGACTGCTCGGACTGTAGGCGAAGATAACGTCATGGGAAGAAGAATATGTTAGTGAAAGTATATAGTACAATTATGTTACTATAATTATAGAAATATTAGAAAATATTTGTATGGACAGAGAATAAGAACATCCGCAGCAGCAGAATAATATTTGCATTTACACATAACGAGCATTTTTTTCCACTCTTATTTCACCGCAAAGGTCGTGGGTAATTTTCTAGTGAACATTTCCCTAATATGAATAAAATAAAAATTGTAAGAAGTAATCTAACGATGGCCTTGTTCTAACGATTAACTCGATTTTTCTTATTGTGCCATTTCTTACACAAGAAATCCTTGAGGCGCGCAGTGTTTCTTGTTTAACACCAAACTTATCACACCGCGTCTAATTGATCGTGCCTCACTCGCGAGTTGCATGCGTCTCTCTCAAATACGATCTATCGACCGCCATCTGTGCTGGTACTAAACCAATCGTTTTTAACGCACTAAAATATACTGCTGCCTGCCCTTGAACGGAAACGAAAATACGGTCAGAGTTAAGTTTAAAGTGAATATATGTTAGAAGCAATAAAGATTGCGCAACGGAAAATGCAAAATTTATGAAAGCATAAGATAACAAAGTACATAAATTATTGTTCAGAAAAAATTAAGTAAAAAAATTTGGTATATCAAATGCAATTTACTGCGAACCATTAAGTTTTGAGCAAAATAATTTAAAGCATTTGAGTTGTAAACAAAAATAAAACATCTTTTACAAGTTGAAATTGAACGTAGAGATAAAAGAACTATATTTTTCGTTGAATTCTTCGAACAATTTCTATTTTAATAGAATTTTAATTTGGATCTTAATTACCAAAATGTTTAGTGTTTATTAAAAAAATTATAAAGTTAAAAGAATTAAGAGGTTGTGCGAAAGAGATAGTATCGAAACTTGTATCTATCTAGTATACTTGTATCTATTAGTCACTTTAATGTAATTTAATGTAATTTAATCTATGTTGTCAGGTAAAAGCGGGGAATGAGATTCATTATTAATTGCAGCTGCATCCGCATATTTGAGATTCCAAATTAGCGTGACATGCACGGCTAGTATGCATTTGTGGATTCGTGCAATCTGTGTGCGAGAGAGCACGTGTATACGTTATATAATAACGAGGACACATCTCCGTGTCCGTTTCAAGTGCAGTAGAAACCGGCACTCCTCTGTCTGTGATTTTTTGTTATTTTCATACTCGCCTCTCATCGCTCACACATAGAGACAACTCCAGTGTAATGATCGTGCAAAATTATATAGCAAACAAATGTTTCTCGTGACACGCCACAAACGCGACAGTCATCGTATAGTTATACGTGTTATCAGACTACGTCCAAAATCGCAAAATCTAACATCACACGTTACGCAAAGTATATAGGCATTATATCATAAACTTTCTTTATGCAAGTAACGCATTTGATCGTAAAGTCTAGTTTGTAAAAATGGAATGACAAGGCAAGTAATTTAAATCGGAGAAATGCACCCGTTAAGTTTTATCACGTACATTAACATAGATAACGTTTACACGTACAAAGCTTGTCGGCCTTTAACACATATAAAGCCTGTTAGGCATAAAGGCACGGTTAATCAATGATTAACGAGTGCTTAGATAAGAAGTAAAACGGTATGTTTCCGCCGTACATACCCGATGTGCGCATCGTACGAAAACCCGGTCCAACGGGGACTTGGAGTCCTGGGCCTTGGAGGTCCTCTCTTTGCACCATGCTTGTCCCATTTTCTTTTTATTCAGCTTTCAGCTTGTTCGATCCTTTTCTAGTAAAGTCACTTGTACGACGGGTAGGCAGTGGTTCCTCTCACCAATAAGACCGGATAATGTAGGCCATTTTCAGAACCCGTTCTCTCCTCGTGACCTGCCGCAACCGGCGTGTCTCCTATGGTCGGCTATACCGATCGCATCCTCGCTTGGATCCTCGAATGTGAAAAAGAAGTCGACAGAGCCCCGCGGCCGGTCGGTCGGTCGGTCGGTTCGGTTCGGTGCGGCCCCGCAAGGTCCGGCACTGAGAGGCAAAAAGAACGCGCTGATGTGTGATACGTCGTCGTTTCTTCCCAATGCGTGACCTCCACTCGCTGGTCTGAAAAAAACAAAGTATTCCGTTGACGTTCTGATTTCCGTTCGTAACATAATCGCCGACTGTTTAAATACTTATTACACAGGTATTTAAACTCGTCAGTTCTTGTTCAGGAATTTAGCTTTGGACAGCTGTTCGTCGTTAAATACAAAATATTCGAAAGCAAACAAATTTAAAACAACAATTAAAATATTTAATGGAGAAAAATATGTCAAGTTAAATTGCTGTTGAATTTGCATCGCATTGAATTTTGGTTTTCGAAATAAATAATCTGCATTTGCGATGAATAGGATACTCGCATCGTCCTGCGAGTCCTTCCATGAATGGGCGTACGAGTCGGGTATACCGTGTTGGCATTGAAGCCGCGCACGGTCACGCGGACCGCCTTCTTATGATGCGTCATTTACTTGCGTGTACGATCTACGTTTGTCTTCGGACGTTTCGTGCGAGTGTACGCGTTAAGAATCGAGCGAAAATCGCGAAAAAGGAAAAAACGATCCCTCGCATTTTCCAAACTGCAGCCGATAGTGCACGAGGCGTTCGAACACCTGTTCGAACAATCACGAGACGCAAAGAATGCGAGAGCACTGACAGTTTCAATGACACTCTCGTGTTTTACACGCCCATCGTTTCTCAAACGAGATAAAAGTCCGAGACGCGCAAACAAAGGTCCGAAGAAAGGTCTTACCTCTCCCAGATATCTTTACGGCCTCTTTTAAATGCTCGCCGTCCGAGCCGTGACTTACTCTTACACACGCTTTCTACGCGCATTCTTAACATACCTATTCTCCTTCGGGCGCGAGAAACTTCCGCCGCGGTGTATTTAAGCGCACGCCTCTTCGAGGAACTAATCTCGACCGTCAATGACGGATGATGAATCACCTGCGGGCACGGTCGAGCACGATCGGTAGGCGTTAAGCACTCGCGGAAACGAACACACGGCGAATTGAACGAGCCGCGGCGGCGGACGCGCGACTGGTACCGCCGCTGGCCCGTGTGGTACCGCTCGGTCAGACTCGCGGCACCGTCAGCACGCTTCGGACGCCCGTACGCACTCGTGGACCTCGCGGTGCAGCAACACCGCGCTCTCGGCAGGCGGACTGACACCCGGACGGTGGCATGCAGGCGAGGCACCGCGCGCGACCTCGGCTCGAAGGCTTTCTAACCGCAGCCTCCG